CCCCAGTCAGCAGTCACATAGCAACAGGTGCCCCAGTCACCAGTCACATAGAAAAGCTACCACAGTCACCAGTCACATAGCAACAGATACCCCAGTCAGCCGTCACATAGCATCAGATACACCAGTCACATAACAACAGATACCCCAGTCACCAGTCACATAGCAACAGGTGCCCCAGTCAGCAGTCACATAGCAACAGGTGCCCCAGTCACCAGTCGCATAGAAAAGCTACCACAGTCACCAGTCACATAGCAACAGATACCCCAGTCAGCCGTCACATAGCAACAGATACACCAGTCACATAACAACAGATACCCCAGTCACCAGTCACATAGCAACAGGTACCCCAGTCAGCCGTCACATAGCAACAGATACCCCAGTCAGCAGTCACATAGCAACAGATACACCAGTCAGCTGTCACATAGCAACAGATACCCCAGTCACCAGTCACATAGCAACAGGTACCCCAGTCACCAGTCACATAGCAACAGGTACCCCAGTCAGCCGTCACATAGCAACAGATACCCCAGTCACCAGTCACATAGCAACAGGTACCCCAGTCACCAGTGCAGTGTTATTTGTTTGTTTGTGTTCTAATTCTTCTTGTCATTTTAGTAAAGTATTAAAGCAGTTCTCACTAATGCACTCAAATATAGCAGCTCACCGTAGAATATAAACATTGAAGTAAATATTTTATTACTAATATCATCATTAAATTGTTATTTTGTCTGAGTGTTCATTTATAATGACCTGTATATTATGCACAATGTTTTGTATTACATAGCAATATAGCACACACTGACAGGATTCTAACCTAGGATGGGGAGGGAACCAAACTGGACAATCGTCTTCCACATTGTAGACCATTCTAAACCCAAATGAATACACCCATTTAGTCCTAATAATGTAAATAAATTCTCTGATTAAACATCATATTAAACTAAAATCAAATTTGAAAAGAATGTGATGAAAATGCCATAAAATTCGCGTCAATATGAATTATTATAATTTGTATATTTTGATGATATTCAAATTGACGAAAA